ATTTGTATAGTTTCAAGAATCCTAATAAAGTACTAGCGTGACTGCTAAAGTTAAAAAAAAAAAAAAAAAAAAAAAAATAGTTTTTTATTTTATTATTATATTATATTATTATCTTTTTTAAATAAATAAATTCTATAAATATATAAATATACATGTCTTATTGTTTTTTTTGTCAATAAAAATGAAACAAAAAAAAATCTCTTCTATTTGTGTAATCGATTATTGTAATAATAAAAACTTAAACCCACTATCATGTTTAAAAAATCAAGATTCTGATGCAAATGTTGATGGATTTGAAGCATCTGTACCAGATGATGATGGTAGACTATATTACAAACCAATAGATGAAAGATACACATATATTCGAATGTTTCAACATATAGATAAAAATTATCAAAATATCAAGTTGCATGATATAGTCATATATTTAAGTCTAATTTCATACCATTGATTAGATAGAACTGATGTTATGAATATACAAACAAACTCAACATAAACAGAAGTACTTACACCTATTATATCAAATAAACTGAAACTAAAATTTTACTTTCTTGAAATTTGTGATAAAGAAATTGCAAAACAGTATAACCCTTCTATGGGTGCCATATTTCTGAACAGAGATTTGCGTAATATACAATTTAGAGAATATTTTAATCTTGTAATGGAATTTGAATATGATATTAAATGTGGAAGATGCCAATATGAACTACATGATTTTGTTTTTTGCTTAGATTTAAAAAAAATAAAAGTTTGTTAACTTGATAATAATAATTTATCAGTAGCTAAAACATTTAATATAGGAAACTATGCTTTTGTATTTGTAATTGATAATTTTAATTGGATGTACTAATTTAAAATGAAAAGTGGTAATGATGATGCAATAAAATTTGGAGAAACTTTCAATTCTGAAACTGGTGATTGTGGTATACTATTGATGATTAATTATTTGAAATTAGAATCTGCATAGAAACCTGATTTCAATTCTGGTAATCTGATAAGTAGTCTTTTTGATCTAATACAAAAATGTTGTGAACTGAAAAAACCTACAGAAGAAGAAGAGAAGGATGAAGAGAAAGAGAATATTACAGATGATGAAGATATTGAACTATAATTTTATTTATTATATTTGAATTAAAATTATATAAATAAACAAATCATTTGTTATTTTTTTTTAAAAAATGAAATTTTTTAAAATTCTTATTATTCTGTTACTTTTTTTAAATATAATTGCTGGTGCTCATGTCAAAGCTAAAACTAAAACTAAATCTAAAACTAGAGCTAAAGCTAAAGCTAAAAATCAAATACCAGTACCAAAAAATCAAATATCAGTAGATATAAATTATTTTTCATTACCTCAATTATATACATGGAATTTTAAAAAAAGAATATATGAAAGAGTATTAATAAAGAAAGGTACTATGTGTAAAAGTTATCTTGGAGGTTTGTATGTCCAAACATTTCTTCCTAAAGGTGAAAAAGCAGAATATGTACCAGTACATAAACCTAAAGGAGCTAATATAAAAAAACCAAGAACATAAAAATCTCATTTTTTTTCTTTTTGTTAAACAAAAAAAACAACAAAAAAATGACTTCTGAAATCTTTTTATTACTTCTCATTTGTACAAGAATGTACTATAACAACTTGAATAATCAGACAATAATGGTTATCAATCATAATAATAAGGAGCTCTTCAGATTTATTAATATGATAAATGAATCTATCATTGATACATTTATTAGCTCTACCAATAAATTTAAACATTATGAAAGAACACTTATATATAATAAAAAATTCATTGATAATTTTGATATAGATTTTGAGAAATTTGATATAGGAATAACAGACCATATTAACTTTATTTATTATTCACTCAAAAAATATTTGTAATATTTTTATTTATTTAAATAAAACATTAAAAATATATATATATATTTTTTTTTAATAATCATAAAAAACAAAAAAAACTATAATTTATCATACAAACTTGGATTATCAAGTTTTTTTAATACCAATAAGTTCCTTACTTACTTTGACCACCTGGTCTATTTTTTGTTCAAATGTTTCATTCTTATCAAAAATTACTTTGAAGTTTATTAATACTTGTTCAATTTTATTAATCTAAATAAAAAAAAATAAAAAAATAAAAAAAAAACAATAGATTAAAAAAATTAAAAAAAAAATGTATACCAAATTTTGATTAGATTATTAATCGTTCAATTTTTCAGCAATATATTTATCAGTTTTTTGAAGTTGAGAAGTAATATTATTAGAGTAACCAGTTATGCAAACACTTTTTGAAGCATTATCATAAGTATAAAATGTAATTCCTTTTCTATTAGGATAATGTTCACATATTAAATATTTTTCAACTTTAACACGAAGATCAAGGTTAGGAAAATTATTCATTTTCATTCGTTATTTATTTTTTTTTGTTTTTTTTTGTATTTATTTATATTAATTAATTAGAGTTATTAATATGTAGATAAACTACATATTAATAACTCTAAATTAAGTAATTAGAATAAGCACTTCCTATTGTTCCTATTTAGACAATCGATTTATATTTTATTGTTTTCTTACTTTAATTTTTTTTATTAAAAAAAAACAATGAATAAAAATAAAATAGATAAATAACAAATAAAATAATAATTTAATATAAACCATTTAAAACTTTATTGTTTAAACTTTAATAAACAAAAATAATTTTTTTATACATAATAAAAAAAAAATAAAAACAAAAAAACAAATAATAAAAAAAACAAAAAATTAATCATGTTTTAATCATTCTATATTAATAATTTCTTCATTGACTTTAACCACCTGGTCTATTTTTTGTTCAAACATTTTATTCTTATCAAAATTTACTTCAAAATTATTTAATATTTGTTCAATTTTATTAATCTAAAAATAAAAAATATTAATAAAAATAATATAATTAAAATAAAAAAATAATAATAAAATATCAAATATTGATTATTAATTTGTTGATTTTTTGCTTTATTTTTGATAAAATTCATAAACTTATAAAATGCATCTTGAAAAGCTTTTACAGGAAAAGTTGTATCTAACTTGCCTCTTGGAATTGAAGTTATATTTATGACATATCTAAGCTAACAACAAAAGGAGCTCCAGTCTCAGTTTCTAAAACTGAAACTCCAAGATTTTCATAATTTTTTCTAAACACTTTGTTATTTTTTTTTTGAAAATAAAAAAATAAAAAAAATAAAAAAAATAAAATAAAAATAAAAAATAAAAATAAAAATTAAAATAAAATTAAAAAATAAAATAAAATATTAAATAAAAAATAATATATATAACCTTTTTTATAAAAAATATAAATCTTTTTTTGTTTAATTATGTACATAATTTTATATCTTTATTAATGATATTCTTATATTAATTTTCTTAAACTGAACTAAAATTTATTTTTTTTTTTTTAACTTAGGCAGCTCTTTATTAAAATTCTTGTATATATGTTATACAACATTAGCTTAAATTTTGGTTCAACATCCCTCAGCTACTTCTATGAGTGCCCAGGAGCAGTCTGCCACACAGGCCAGGTGATTATTCCTGGCCTGGGGCTATATCAAGCTAGCCAGTAAGACCCTGAAAAAAGGGTCTTATGTTTCTATTTACAAAACAAAAACTGAATCGGCTATGTTTTCTAAGTTTAAACCTTGTTCTTCTTTTTTCTCTTTCTCATGGCTCGGTTTTGTTCATCTAAATTTATATTCCTTTCTTCATTTTGCATTTTTCTGCTTGAGAGGTTTTGTTTTTTGTTGATTTTCTTCTTTTTAATTGCAGTGTTAATTCCTACTAGTTTTTCTCAGTCAGTGATACTATTACATCATTTTTTTTATATATTTTCAAAAAAACCATTCCATATTGCATTTGTGAAAACTGTTATGAAGTTCTGGTTTTCTTTAGAAATTGTGTAATATCTTGTACAGACTTTTTGGTTTTTTCTTGTGTTAGACCTTTGATGATTTTGGATCTGTTTGCTAATTTTTCTTTTTTTGAGGTTCCTTATAAAAGCTTTTTGAGCTCTTCTTTACTTGAGTTTCTTTGGGTTTCTTCTGCAAGTACTGTCCATGCCAAATCAATTGACATATTTTTTGTATTCTCTCATTCTTTTTTATGCTTGCTGCATGTTGCCAGATGGTCTTGATCCTCTTTGTGATCTTTATTGCATAGTATACAAATTGCATTTTTGTATAGGTCTGGTCGTCTTTATGTCAAGGTCTTAAGCACTAGTAGTTTTTCAATTACACACTTGATTAGTGTTGCTAGTTTTCTATTTCTTTTCATACTTGTGCATTTTGTTCCACTTTGGCCCTTAATGCTTTGCCATAATGTTGACCAGTTATGCTTTTTTTCTTTCAGATTTGGTTCTGTTTTTTGAATTGATAATGTAAATCTCCATTCTGCTCCAACTTTGAGTTCTAGTATATTTTTGATGAACTTTTTTGTCGAGCTTTCAATTACTAAATCCTCCTAGCAGAGTGAAACATTTGAAATTGAAGGTGGCACCTTTATTATTCTATCGATATTAACTATTTTGCACCTCTCTTTTGCTAATTTGTCTGCTTTATCATTCTATTTGTTACCATTATGTCCCTTTACTTTAACTAAATCTAATTCTAATTCTTTTAAGCTAAGTAGTTCTAAAATACTTCTCTTAAGATTATAATTCTTTTCTTTAATCCAATGTTTGCTTAATTTTAACTTTTTGCTTTTGTCAAGGCCTGTTATTGCTGCTGTGCTATCAGTATAAATTTTGACTTTTCCCTTTCTTGGTGTTATTAGCAGCACATACCAAATTACAAGCAACTCTGATTTTGTTGATAATAGCCAAATTTGTGCTTCAATTGTATCTTCATCAATTACTTTTTTCTCTTTGCCATCTACTTGCACCTAGCCTATTTCCATGCACTCACTCTCTATTGCATTTTCTATTGCTAATTTCTTAAGTGATCCATCTGTATAGAAAATCAGCACTTCATTGTTTCTTAGTTTGTTTTTTTTGTTTTTTTAAATTAGCTCTTCTTTGAGTACTTGACTAAGTCATTGTTTTTTAATAAGCTCTATGTCTAAATTTTCAAATACTATTTCTTTGACTAGGCTTTTATATTTGCTTGGCTTGATTGACTTATTGCATTCAAATCTTTTTATCATTTCTTGCTCTATCTCGAGTTTGAGCACTTCTTTCTTACTAATAAGTCTTAATAGAGAGCCTTGAATGTCTTCTCTATTACTCTATTTTTTACAACTTTTCTGTTCTCCAATTTGATCCAAGTTGTAACTATTACATTTTTCCAAAAACTTGCCTGTTTTGTTCTCTTGTAATTTTGTTTTCCAATGTTCAGTAAGCACTTTTTCAGTATGTTTGCAACTATCTTTCTAATTACCAGGTTTTCTTCTTTTGCTACTTGTGGTGACTTTAGTACAAC